AGCCTGCCAGTCATCATTAGATACCGAGTTTTAACTCTAAGTAAGTAAGTATTAGTCGCTCAGTTGTGCCCAACTCTTTGTGACCCCATGGACTGCAGCCCACCAGGCTCCACTATCCATGAGATTTTCCAGGCAAGGATACTGGAGTGGGTTGCCATTTCCTTCTCCAGGGGATCTTCCCAACCCGGGGATCAAACCCCGGTCTCCTGCACTGCAGGCAGATTCTTTACCGACTGAGCTACAAGGGAAGCCCAAGTTTTAACTCTACCAGTATGTTAACCCAACTCACAGAAGCAGATGAGGGCACCAGCTGGGGCTGTGGGCTCTGTCTCTCTTAGGGGACCCCATTTGTGACGGAAGTTGTAAGCAGGTTGTTGCCAGCTTGAGCAGAAGCCAAAGGGCTTGGTAGCTGAATATCCAGACTTTCAGTACAGTGACGTCAGAGTCACTGAGGACAACAGCCTCACACCATCTGGTTTCAAAAGGATTCACCTTGCAAAGATTCCAGCCCTAGAGAACCAAGGGCAAGAGACCTCTTTGGGTTGTACCAGGGTTCAGTAACAGGCAGCCCTAGAGAGAAAGACCGGAGTCACTTGCGGGAACCTTGGGTGTGCAGGTTTGTTTTAGGCAAAAATTCTGCCCATCTCTAGTCAAAATTCTGAATGTCCCTCAAAGGTATACTGATTTTATAAAAAGCCATCCTCACTTTGTAGAATGATTCCCCAGGTAAGTTCCTTAAGTAAGATAGATTTATGTGTTAAGATTTGATTTATACATAAGCTATCAGGAATAAACCCTCTGTGAAATATGAGGTAAATATATATGTCCTACTGATGCTTCTCAAGAAGGGAGGCATGTGCTTTTCTCCATGTCTGGTTTTCAAAAACTGGTTTGCCACCCATGAGATAATTTCTTCCACACTGTCTTGGATACAAACTTAGGGCATACAAACTGACTCAATACTCATACTGATGTCCCCAGAGCCAAGTGAAAAATATGTAGCTCTCAGGATCAAAATAAAACATTTCTCTAATAAAATTGCTATTGTTATGGCTCATGTTTAGTCACATTATTTTACTCTTTTATTTTTTAGCCCTTGCTATACGTCAGGCACTGTTCTAAACACTTTACTAAAGTGAACTCATTTAATTCTCAATAACCTATGAGGTAGTACCATACCTCCATTTTACAGATGAAGAAACTCAGGGGGCAGAATGGTGAAGAAACTTGCCTCCCAGTTTCAAATAAATTTAGGAGGGAGAAAGCATTTTGTGTATATTCGAAGGATGGCATGGGTTAAAACAGGTTGAGGAAAACAGATGAAGGGTAAGACATGGTTGGTGTGTTTCTAGGTTAGCGACTAGGAACTTTTGATAACAGATTTTTGTTTTTGTTTTGGCTGCATCGGCTCTTCATTGAGGTTTGTAGGTTTTTCTAGTTGTGGCACATGGGCTTAGTTGCCCGTGGCATGTGGGATCTTAGTTCCCTGACCAGGGATTGAACTTTTGTCCCCTGCACTGAAAGGTGGTTTCTTCACCACTGGACCACCGGGGAAGTCTGATAACAGCTCTAGAGTCTAGGTGTCTGTATCCCTATTACAGAGGCAGCAGTGAGTCTCAAAGATCCAATTTTGACTTGCAGTGGGCTCCCACTCACTATGGAGTATTGAGCAAGTCCCTGGTTGTCTGTGGGGCTCAGTTACTCATCTGGGCGATGGGGATTGGAAGGTAGATTAGTTAGCTATTGCTTTGTGATAAACCAACCCCCAAACTGGCAGTTAAGCAACTGTTTATGATTTTGAGTCTATTGGTTGGCTAGGCTCACTTACGTATCTGCATTCAAGTGGCTGGCTGTTCTCATTGTGGCTGGGACCTGTATAAGGGCCTGAGCAGGAACAACTGGGCTGAGCAAAACTCTACGCTACATGGCCTTGTCTTGTGGAAGGCAAGCTTGGGCTTCTTCTCATGGCATTGGTAGGGTTCCAGGAGAGAGAAAGGAAACAGTTCTCTTGCAGCTGCTGGCCTGAAAAATTACACAGTGTGAGAGTTGTGAGCTGTTTTCTTTGGGGCAAAACGAAGATTATAGCCCAGGAAACAGCATCTCAGATAGCTCTGAAAAACTGCTCCAGAGAGGCAGAGGGGGAAGGTCAGTATATATGTGATTTTAGTGAAGGGGGAGTATGTGCAATCAGGTACATATTTTTGCAGAAAGTTTCCACTAGTCATGGGGAGCAGTCACCATGAAGAATTTTAGTGCTTTTCTAGATATGAGAAGAAACTAAAGTGAAGAGGAACTAAAGAGCCTCTTGATGAGGGTGAAAGAGGAGAGTGAAAAATCTGGCTTGGAACAACATTAAAGAAACTAAGATCATGGCATCTGGTCCCATCTCTTCATGGCAAATAGAAGGGGAAAAAGTGGAAGCAGTGACATCTTTTATTTTCTTGGGCTCCAAAATCACTGCAGACAGTGACTGCAGCCATGAAATTAGAAGACACTTGCTCCTTGGAAGGAAAGCTATGAGAAACCTAGACAGCATATCAAAAAGCAGAGACATCACTTTGCCAACAAAGGTCCGTATGGTCACGGCTATGGTTTTTCCAGTAGTCATGAACAGATGTGAAAGTTGGATCATAAAGACAACTGAGCACCAAAGGATTGATACTTTTGAATTGTGGTGATGGAGAAGACTCTTGAGAGTCCCTTGGATAGCAAGGAGATCAAACCAGTCAATCATAAAGGAAATCAGGCCTGAATATTCATTGGAAGGACTGATGCTGAAACTTTAGCTCCAATACTTTGGCCACCTGATGCGAAGAGTCGACTCACTGGAAAAGACTCTGATGCTGGGAAAGATTGAGGGCAGGAGACGAAGGGAGCGACAGAGGCTGAGATGGTTGGATGACATCATCGATTCAAGCTTGGCATGCTGTTAATCCATGGGGTCGCAAAGAGTTGGACATGACTTAGTGACTGAACAACAACAGATGTGAGGAAATACAATAATTGGGCTCATAAAGTTGGCTCCTGAAAATATCTATCTGAAGACCTGTTTTGCCAGTTTTCCCCAGAACACCTCAGTTCTGCTCTCCACTCTGAATTCCTTTCAAGGGGTGTTGAAAGTCCTCAGCTGCAGTGGCTCACCATTTAATCTTTGTAGAGACAGATGCAAGTGCCAAAGGCAAGTGCCAATTTGTAACTGACATAGCCTAGGCTCAGAACTAGCACAACATCCTGTGCACTGCATTCTGTTTGTTAAAACAAGTCACAAAGTTCAGCTCAGATTTGCAAGGGTGGGGACATAGCTCTCTTCTGAAGGGATGGAGGAGCTCTTTGCACACAGCAAAGATATAGAAAGGTGTGGGATTGAAATCATTTACCAGATAAGACAAAGACTCCCCTACCTCTGAGGAGAGTATAATAGTATAATAGTACCACCTCTGAGGTGGTAAGGGGCTCAGGCAACTGAGGCCAAGACCTGGCAGTGCTTTAAAAATTATAAAGTGCTCCACAGGTAGTGCTTCTGAGTGTGGAATCTTGTGTCACCTGTGGACCTGTGAGTTCCTGGGAGCGAGGCCGTGCCCTACTCCTGCCAGCCCCTTCTGTATTGAGGAAAGGCTCACAGAGATGAAGGGAAACAAACCAGAGCAGTTACTGAGAACCAGACCACACTCCCTCTTCTCACCCTAGAACAAAGACAGGCTTCAAACCCTCTGGAATCTGAGAAGCTTCCTTCCCTTCTGCAAGCTCTCCCCCTCATCCTTTCTGCCCTGCCCCTACCTCCAACTGCACTTGGCAAGATACTCACATGTCTTCCCACTCAACAGCTGAGGATACAGAAGGATGACTCACTCAAGGTCACCAGTGAGTGGGTGAAGACCCAGATCCTGCTCAGGAAACCCATCAGGGCCTGCTTGAGCGACTGCAAATATGAACACAGTCTGAGTGCAGGGACATGCTGTTTTGGCTCCTGGAATGTTGTGGTGTTGAGGTACAGATGCTTTTCTGATAATACAGGTGGAGCCCTGGAAACCTTTCCCTGCTGGGTTCTCAAGTCTCCCCGCTCTCCCATTCCACATCTCTGCCTCCAGCTTGCCTCTCCCAGTCCTCCATGTTGCCTTTCCAAAACACTTGCATCATGACTCTGCTTAAAATAACAACGAATCAACATTTATTGAGCCCTTACAAAGGACCATGTACTGTTCTAAGCTCTTTCTTTGAATTAATTCATTTAATCTTCACAATTCTATGAAGGAGTCACTATTATTAGCTCCCATTGTGCAGATAAGGAAACTGAGGCACAAGAGGTTAGAGTGACTTACTGAAAGTTCCACAGTAAGTGTCAAAGTTAGGATTTGAACTCAGATAGCCTGGTTCCTGAACTTGGGCTTCTCAGGCCAGAAAAACCGTCTCTGTAGTTCTGTTTGTTGTTCAGTTGCTAAGTAGTGTCCAACTCTTTGCGGGCCCCATAGACTCCAGCACGCTGGACTCTATTCTAATAATAAAGAACAACAACAGTAATATAATAATGAATATTCATGGATTGGCTAGGCCCTGTTCTGGTTGCATTTCAAGTGCTAGCTCATTTGAGTCTTACAATAGTACTAGAGAATTGGCCAGTAGAGTGAGTACTATTACCCTCATTTTACAGGTAAGGAAATGGGGACAGTCATGCAACAAGGATGGGTTACCAGACACTCTAAGAGCTCCAGAAGCAAATTTTAAACCACTGTGCTATCTGGCTTTTCCAAGGACTATTCAGTCCAAGGGCCCAGTATTTACTGCTCTTCGGATTCATGTCACATGATTTCTGCATTTCCACCAAAGCATGGCTTTTGTTTTTTCTATGCATGTTTTTTTTCCTTCTCAACCAGACTTTGAGCTCCATGAGGCCAGACTGAAGATTTGGTACATCCTCAAGTTCCCCAGTTCACAGCCAGGATCTCATAGACTCCTCCTAACAATCTTAGATTATAGGCATTCCTCCTTTTCAAGGAAAAAGCATGGATTCAGAGGTAAAGATAGAACTGGATGAACAGCAGTGTTTTGGCAGACAGCGTTTTCGTTACAAAGCACTCTTCCCCACATCCCATTCCACCCCACACAGCCTCACTTCCAGGGGCAGTCATGGTAGTACAGCTTGATGGTGAAGAGCAATGGTTTAGGATTAAACCTGAGTTTGAATCTCTACTCAGTCACCTGCATGACCCACAGAGGGGGTCATTTAATCCCTCTTGTCCTCAGTTATCTCACTGGTAAATGAGGATGATAAAAATGCTTTCCTCATCTCTCTGTTGGGAGGACAAATGAAATTAAGCACATAAAGACCTGTGAGAGAGGCCTAGACTGGAGAAGTAGTGTGTGTATATAGATAATCCGCTCCCCTCCCCCCACCTCCCTAAAGACACCGGGTCCCAGGACTGAGGAGGGGAGGGGGCAGCAGGTGGGCTCCCTGAGAGAAACATCCTGTGCCCCTCTCCTGCTGGCACCCCCAAGCCCCACGCAGGGGAGAGGCGAGTGCCCTGCGGTACACAGCCCAACACAAGCTTCTCCAGGAATGATACAGCTAAACTCTTTGCAGGGTTAATCAGGTCCGCGAGCACAGACTGTCGCTGCTCTCCATCCTCTTTCCCGAAGTGGCTCGAGCTGCACAGCATCTTCTGTGAGTTGAGGGTCTTGGGTAAACCGGGCTGAGGCCAGGCCAGACGCGGGTGCTGAACCGCTGCTAGGCTCGAGCTTCCGAGGGCGCCCACGGGAAGCGGGTGCTCCTCCCTCTCGGCACCGCCCAGAGCTTTAGGACTTGGAGAGCCGTCCCAGCAGAACCGCGGCCCTTCACCTTGAACGTTGCCCTCCACCTGTCTCCAGCCGGCTGCCAGGCAACAGCGCTTGGCCAGGCGACTCTACAAGCCACTGCCTTCCCTCCGGCGCAGGCGGGCGCTGGATCCCCGGCTGATCCAGGCCGGGTTTTGCGGCGGAGTCCGCGAGCGCAGGTTCCTTATCGGTTGCAGCGGTCGGCGGCGGGAGATCGTGGTGATGGAAGAACCGTGGGCCGGCCTGTCCGGCGTCTCCGGGGCCGCCCTGGCCTGCTGCTTCGTGGCGGCGGCCTTGGCCCTGCGCTGGTCCAGTCGCCGGACAGCGCGGGCCTCGGCAGTCCGGGCAAGACGGAGGCAGAAAGCGGGCCTGGGCACCATGGACAAGGCGGCGCAGCGCTTCCGGCTCCAGGTGACAGCCGGGGCTGGAATCGGTGTGGAGGGGGAGGGGTGGCAGCAGCGCTTTGAGCCGCCCGGGCGCGCGGAGGGGCGGGCGGCCAGCAGCTCAGGTGTGTAGGCAGCGCAGGTTTGTAACTTTCTGACACCCCTCTCGCCATCATGCATCCCGTACTCTTTTCTGAGCCAGATGGGGCCTAGGGGCAGAATGGAAACGAAAGGGACAGGGCAGGTCGTCGAAGGCTGTCGCCTCACTGGGTCAAAGAGGAGCTTTGCTGTGTGCCAGATAATCTCAAGATCATGGACTTACTGGACGCTTAAACTGCAAGATGAGAACCAATAGGATGCTTGGGTTTAGGACTTTGGAATCATAAAGTGATGGCCAAGGGGCTTCTGAGAGCTTACAGTTCAAATTCATTGAGGATGCTCAGAGGGAGCTGGGGAGGGACTTGCTCAAGTCCACAGGGTGTTACCGGCTGAGGTGGACTCCTGTCACCTGGCTGTGGAGTCGGATAGGTTATAAGTTCCTTTCATGGATAGGTTTAGTTCCAGCCCTTCCCTGGGTGACCTGTCAACAAGCTTCTTTCCCTCTGGATCAGTTCAGTGTGTGTATGGGGGTGAGGGAAGCAGCCTGTAAGAGGAGGCTTTCCTCTAGGTGTGACACGCTGGACTCAGTTACAAGTCAAAATACCAAACTCAGTTCCTTTGTGCTGTGAGAGAGAAGACTTGCCCCAAGGGGTGTTGGATGGAATTTGGATGTGATAAGGTGGGAAGGCATTCCAGATGATGGGACAGGATGAGGCAGGAGCTAGAACTAGAACCCAGATGCCTGGTGGAACCATCCAGCCTCATTCCAGTGGAGAGGAGCAGGGAAGAAAGATTAGGAAGGGAGAACCCAGCCTTGGATGCCTGGCCCTGGGTGTGGCCTTGATTGCTTTGAGGTTTTAGCTGGATGTGCTGGTATGAATTTACACCATACCATTCCTGGATCAGGAAAATGTCTTATTTGTTTATTTATTGAAATAAGAACACATCTGGTTTTAGCCCTTACTCACTGACATGGCACACAATCAGTGAAAGTAAACAATCACTTTGTTTTTAGGGACTCAATCCAAACTGGCCACTTTCCCTATCTACTTGAGCAAAGCTTCGTCACTGTCTGATCCTTCTCTGGCTGAGCTCCCTGGTGCCCTGCTTAGGGATCCTTGCAGTGATGCCAGGCCCAGCCTAGAGAACTTTGGTTGCTCCAGATACTCCAAGTCCTGTGCAACTAGCTAGCTGAATTCTGCCTGCTCCAAGGAATGTGTGGGGGCAGCTGCAGGAATCTGCCCACAGTTCCTGCCCACATGACTCTCCTCCTGGTTGCAAGGAACCCACCAGCTGGCAGGGGTGTGGGGTAGTAGAAGGGTGGGTCTTCCCTCACTCAGCTCCAAGCAACAGCATCTGGATCCAAGCATCCAGTTTCCTTCTGGAGCAACAGCCTTTCCTTATTTTTAATAACCAACTCTTCCATGGTAGATTTCTTAAAAGAAATCAACTCTGAATATTCATTGGAAGGACTGAAGCTCTGATACTTTGGCCACCTGATGCAAAGAGCTGACTCACTGGAAAAGACTTTGATGCTGGGAAAGATTGAAGGCAAAAGGAGAATGGGGGTGGGGAGCAGAGGATGAGATGGTTAGATGGCATCACGGACTCAATGGATATGAATTTAAGCAAACTCCAGGAGATAGTGAAGGACATAGGAACCTGGCGTGCTGCAGTCTATGAGGTTGCGAGGAGCAGGACATGACTTAGTGACTGAACAACAAAACAATAACTTCCAGGGCAGGTTTTGGCCTTGAAACCCCAAAAGTTGTTTAAACACCCTCTGTGGGTCAGAGCCTGGCCTCAGAACACCAAAACTTGGCTCTCACAGATGAGTAAGTAGGGAAATTCCCTTTTGGCTTTCTAGTGACTGGCAGAAGAAGGGGAGAACTAGTTCAGCAGTCTTGTTCTGAGCAGTCAGCACAGGGGGTGAGGTCTTGAAGACAATAGCTTTGGGATCAGTAGGAGGTGGGCAGTTTGTGTGCTTCGTTGCTTAGTCGTGTCCGACTTTTTTGATCCATGGTCTGTGTACCCACCAGAATCCCCTGTCCTTGGATTCTCCAGGCAAGAACACTGGAGTGGGTTACCATTTCCTCCTCCAGGGAATCTTCCCAACCCAGGGATCGAACCCACGCAAACCCACATCTCCTGTGTCTCCTGCACTGTAGGCAGATTCTTAACCCACTGAGCCATTGGGGAAGGTGGGCGATTTAGCTGAGCTCACACGTGAGCTTAGGGAGAAGCCCCTCCTCCATCCCATCCCTAAGGCTCTTTCTGCTTGGCTCTGGAGTTGCTGGGGGTTTTGAGGCTGTTTCAGCAGCCTTTCTTCTGGGGCTTTCTCAGCCCAGCCCTATACTGAGAAGGGGGCCTTGAGGTCAGGGGGGCCCTGGGTGAATACAGCAGCCTGTGGTACAGCTCCTGCCTGATAGACTGCAGAGAAGTGAGTTGGGACCCAGATACTTCCCGTGTCCCAAGATGCTGCTGGAGGAGGGGACGTCCCAAGCGCCTCCTGAACTTCACAAAATTGTTCATCTCTTTCAGGACTCTAGAGCAACTTTAGAGTGAGGCATGCTTTTCATACACTCTGTTGACCATGAGGCTTAATTTGTAACGTGTGTTTGCCCATTTGCTTCCACCTTACTGCCTGAATGAATTGTTTTATTTTTGACTGTGCTGGGTGGTTGTTGCTGCACGGGCTTTTCTCTAGTTGTATGAGCTGGGGCTACTCTCTCCTTTCGGCACGTGGGCTTCTCATTGCTGTGCCTTCTCTTGTTGACTAACATGAGCTCTAGGGTGCATGGACTTCTATAGTTATGGTTCCCGGGCTCTAGAGCATAGGCTCAGTAGTTGTGGCACATGGGCTTAGTTGCTCCATGGCATGTGGGATCTTCCCAGACCAGGGATTGAACCCTTTTCTCCTGCACTGGCAGGTGGATTCTTTACCACTGAGCCACCTGGAAAGCCCCCTAAGTAAGTTTTAATATCCTTTCTAGACTGATGTGAGGGACTGCCATTGATAGACCATGACGACTGGGAGAGCCATCCCACTTGCCCACACTTCAGTGCCTCTACACCTCTGGTTTTAACCTGAACGCCCTTGCCACACAGACCTTACAAGCCCCTTTGCCAAAGTCCCACTGGATTACAAATGTCTCTCCCTTCAACTGGATCTGACCTGTAGTTCCATCTCCTGGCATCTCCAAGACCAACCAGAAGCTGATTTTAAAACAATTCAGTAAATGAATGGAAGACAGTATGGTTTTTGTTTCAGTCAATGTCAGTGGTCACATGATTGAATGGAATGTATATCTTGAAATAGAACAGAAGTGATTAAAAAAATAATAACAACAATAAACCATGAATAATATTAAAAAAAAAAAAACAACTTGAAGGACCATCTAGGGTATCCGAAATTAAGACAGTAGGTGGTTCAGGAGAAAAACAGGTTGAGGAGGGGCAGTGATTCAATGATAGCTGTAATATCCTATTCTTGGAAAAAAAGGCATACAGATGGCCACATGCTTGGTGAGATCTTATTTGTATACTTCCCTGCATTCTCCATATACATTTTAATTTCCTCCATTTTCTTAGATTGGCCTCCTGGACATTCAGACTTACTCTGGTGTCTTGTGAAAGAGAAAATGTCTCAGCTGCCTGATAACTAGTTGAAGACTTAAAAATAGCTGTTAGCAACAGTGTCATCAACTGTCAACACAGAAGAGCAGAGGAAAGAATGAACATTTGTGCTGAGAATTGAGAGGAGCTCACTGACAGCTTCTAGCTGACATGCACAGGACCTCTGTGGACACCCTGGGTGAGGTGGGGAATGGTGGTGATCAGGCTCCTGGTGATCCTTACCCCAGTGTGGTGGGCTCTCTGGTGATTTTTACTTCCTTCCACAAATTGGTAGGCCATTTTTCATTTTTTACAATGACCACATATTTATATAATCAGAAAAAAATCTTGCTATTTTCATTGTGAGGGGAGAAATGCAAGGCATAGGACAGTGTATATAGTATAATCCCTCTGTCCAAAAATAGAATATATATAAACAACTATATACATTGTGGGATTTTCACAAACTTTTCTTCCCCTATGAGGTTTCATCAGAAACTGTTAACTATGACTTCCTTTTCAGAAGAGGGACTTGTCAGTGTGGTCCTAGAGGTGGGGGGAGTGTTTCCTTTCCATTTTGCATACCTTAAAAAAAGAAAGTCATCAGGGGTTGTCTGGGCTTCCCTGATGGCTCAGATTGTAAAGAATCTGCCTGCAATGCAGAGACCCAGATTCAATCCCTGGGTCGGGAAGATCCTCTAGAGAAGAGCATGACTACCCATTTCAGTATTCTTGCCTGAAGAGTCTATGGACAGAGGAGCCCTGGCCATGGGGTCACAAACAGTCAGACTTGACTGAAGAGATTTAGCACGCAGGAGTTATCTAGTATGTTGGGGGTAGATCATGGATCCGTTTTTTCTCCTTGTCTCTCCTAGTATCATTAAAAAAGGAAAAAAGAAAAGAAAAAAATCCCTGTTGTATCTCTAACAAATTTGGGGAAGGGGTAGAATATTCCTGATATTGAGTCTGGGTTTCAAAGGCTGTGTGGTGGGTGTGTGCGATGGGTGTTCAGCTTTGGGCGTGAGGTGGGAGTGAGTGAGCTGTGTCACACTGAGGGGGCGCAGGGGGGTCTGATAGGACCTCAGCCTAGAAGCATCTTCTGGACCTTGTGGTGGGAGGCAACCTGAAGGGGACAGGCAAGGCGCACTCGTTGTTGTGCTGTGTGCTGTGTGGTCTGGTGACAAAGCTTGGGCACAGAAGCCAGCTAGGTGGCCCCTGTGTGACCCAGTAGAGAAAGGATTGGCAGTGGCAAGGGTCTCAGTAGAGGAGACAGAGAGGTGGCCATTTTTCAAAGCTGCTTAGGGGCGTGGTGACTGATTAGATGTGGCTGGAAGGAGGTAGAATTGAGGACAGATGGCAGCGTCCTTCCTTGCATGAAGAGGAGCTGGTGGAAAGGAGATAGGAGGCAGTGAGCTCAGGGGAAGGACACAGGAACAGAGGGGACAAAGGGAATAGCTGAGCGAGTGGGTCTGAGCTCAGTTGGGTCAGGCGAGGGACAATTCGGAGGCCGAAGGACGATCTAGAGGCCATGTGATAGGTGTAGGGGCCTGGAGCGGAAGCCAAGAGAAGGCATGACTTCTCCCAGCATCAGAGAGGGAAGAGCAGGTGCCCAGAGGAGCCTCCGGGAGCCTTTGCCTCTCCCTGTGTCTGGCTCCTTCTTGTGCTTCAGGTCGTAGCTGAAATGATGTCTCTGCCTGCCCCGCGCATCTGAGTCTGTCCGCTGTTCTTTCTGTCACAGACTCTGTTTACTTCCTTTCTCACACGTATAGTGATCTGTCATCATTTGTTAACTTACTTTTTTTTTTTAATTTAAAAATTTATTTTATTTTAAAAAACTTTCACTCTGCTGGGTCTCCATTGCGGCATGCCAGCTTTCTCTAGTTGTGTGGGCTTCTCTTGTTGTGGAGCATAGGCTCTAGGGGAGGGGTCCCCAGCCCCTACCAACCAGTAGCAGTCCATGGTGGGCTGGGAACCAGCTGCGCAGCAGGAGGTGTGCTCTGCGGCAGGTGACCGAAACTTCATGTGCCACTCCCCATTGCTTGCGTTACTGAGGAACCCCCGCACCCCCATACCTCCTTCCCACCCCTCCTGCCTGTGGAAAAATTGTCTTCCATGAAACCGGTCCCTGGTGCCAAAAAGTTTGGGGACTGCTATTCCAGCGTACGCAGGCTCAGTCATTGCCCTGCAGCATGTGGGATCTTAGTTCCCCAACCAGGGATTGAACCTACATCCCCTGCACTGGAAGGCGGATCTTAATCACTGGACCACTAGGGATGTCCCTTGTGTTATTAAAATTTCTTTCCTTCTTTTTCAAATTCTTTTCTCAATTAATTTGTTTTCTTGAAGGTAAGCTCTAAAAGCAGGGACTTGTCTGTCTTGGCCATCTCTAAATTCATAGCCCTAATGTAGTTCTCGATACAGAGTAGGTGCTCAGAACATGTGTGTTGACTGGCTGAATGAGTGGATGACAGAAACAGCATAGAGGAGGGAGGGAATCCCTGGAAAGGGGTATGCCTGTGCCCAGGCTTATGCCTGTGCTTGACCCCTGAAGTCAGCCCTGTGAACACCTCTGTGAGACTCAAAGCAGAATGAAGAGTCAAATGTTTGCTGTATTGGGCAATGAGGAAGTCGCTGATGACTTTGGCAAGAGCAGAGGAGGTTAGAGATGAGATGTGGTGGCTGAACTCAGATGCTCTCCTAATTAGCCCAAAGCCCTTGAGGGGGAAGCCAGCGGGAGTCTGCAGGCAGGGGCTGATGCCAGAGACTCTGGAAGCCTCCGAGGCCTGGCAGTGGGTGTCTGACCAACGTCCCTCCTTTGGAGAGCTCTTCCCTGATCACCCTCTCTACCTGTGTGCTGCCTACTCAGTACATCCATGTTATTTTCTTTATTTCTGGCTATCTAAAATTCTTATTTGTTTACTTATAAATGATCTGTGTTAGTTGCTCAGTCGTGTCCAACTCTTTGTAACCCTTTGGACTGTATCCCCCCAGTCTCTGTCCATGGGATTCTCCAGGCAAGAATACTGTAGTGGGTTCCCATTTCCTTCTCCAGGGGATCTTCCTGACCCAGGGATTGAACCCGGGTCTCCTGTATTGCAGGCAGATTCTTTATCACTGAGCCACCAAATTATCTCCTCACTCCCAACTCTGCACCTTGTTCAAACTCCCTAAAGCCTGGAGGTGACCTTCTTGTTCACTTCTGTATCCCTATGTCTAGCATGGTCATTGGTACAGAGTAGATGCTTAATATATATGTATGGAATGAATGGAAAAAAACCTCTCTTTTGGATGTGGCTCTAACTTTAACCCCAGCCACCTAGGACAGGGTTTTCTTCTTTCTGCCCTCCCCTGCCAAAGGGTTGAGTAGTTAGGTGCAGGTAGACAGCCAGTGGGCAGCTTGTGCTGAATGGGCAGAGAACTATAGTTTATCTGTAAGTCCTAATCAAGGCACTTCCCCTCTGTGAACCTCAGTTTTTTTAAGCTGTGCAATGGGAATGGTGGTAACATTTAATCCAAACTCAGAGCACATCAACAAGGTGTGTGGCCACACTCAGCAACCACTGTGCTAAGCTACTTCGGTCATGTCCAACTCTCTGCAACGCTATGGACTGTAGCCCGCCAGGCTCCTTTGTCTATGGGATTCCCCAGACAAGAATACTGGAGTGGGTTGCCATACCCTTCTCTAGAGGATCTTCCCCACCCAAGGGTTGAACCCTTGTCTCATACATCTCTTGCATTGGCAGGCGGGTTCTTTACCACTAGTGCCACCTGGGAAATTTTTTCATAATGGTCTAATACTCAGCCTGGACATGGCCTCTCCCTGGGCCCCCCTCGAGTGAGCTTCTGGAAGAGATAGATCTGTACTGTCCACAGGTGGCAAGGGCCTGCCCAGGCTGGAGCACATTTATGATGTCAGCTGCGGGTGGGCATGTCTGTTATGGGCTGGCATGTGACAGTGAGCACGTGCTTGGTAGTTGTTGGGACTTGGGGGCATGGGCCATAGGTGTCTGCTGCAGGCACATGGGGCCTGGGGGGAGTAGGGGATTGATCCGAGGTGTCTCCCCAGAACCCTGACCTGGACTCAGAGGCGCTGCTGGCCCTGCCCCTGCCTCAACTGGTACAGAAGTTACACAGTGGGGACCTGTCTCCTGAGGCTGTGCTCTTCACCTACATGGGAAAGGTAAGGCCAGGGAGTGACCCTGCTCCTTCCTCCTCTCTCTCTGCAAGGCTGTGGGAAAACCTGGCTGGAGGGCCATGGTGGGACCACAGTGCCAAGGGCTGCCAGGGAGAGAGGGAGGGAGCCAGAGCTGTGTGTGTGTATGAGAGAGAAGGCTCTGTGTATGTGCATGTGCTGGGGACACTGAGCATGTTGTCCTAGCTAGAAACCTGGCTTTTAGCCCAGACTTCCCTCCCCATTCCGCCCCCACCCCATCAGTCACCAAGTCTGGTCTGTTCCCTGTTAGAGCTCCCTCTAGACCATCCCCTTGTCTCCCCCACTACCCTGGTCTTCCACCAGTCTCCCTCTAGGACCAAGCACCAGTCTCCTGGCTGGCTGCCCGCTCAGCGTTCCAGCGTCCTCTCTGGTCAAGGATTCTGGGCCTTGGGGCATCAGCAGCTCAGCTGCTGGAGTTACCTGGCCCCAGAGCCTGCTGTGCTCTGGGTTCCCTTTTCCTGCAAGGCTCTTCTCCCTGCTCTTGCCCTGCACAGTGCAACAGGCTCCCCTGATGAGTCTTCAGGGCCCAGAGAGGAGTCACGTCTTCCAGGAAGCTTCCCATAACCCTCCTCCCCTCCCAGTCTGGGTTAGGGTTTCCTCTTCAGCGTTCACTTACTAATAGCACATTTCTCATCACATTGTAGGGCTTGCCTTGTCTTTCTCTTTCCCAAGGCACATGTGTGGGCTTTTGGTGGACAGAGTCTTATTTGTCTTTGTACCTTAGGGCCTAACACTATGTCTTTTATATGTTGATAGTAAGTGCTCAAGAAATGTGTTTGAAATGAAAAGAAAGAAGAAATTGTGCTTTGTGAGAATGACTTGTATGTGATATGATCTCTCGGAAGAGAGTACGTGGCAGGGACTCTGGCCCCTAAGCAGGTGGACATGAGTGCCAGGGATGTGAGAGTGGTGTGAGTGACTGCAGCTGAGAGGGGGACAGAGAGGGACTGTGGAGAAAGGACTGGACACCCCTGGGCCAGGTGCATTGAAAGGACACAGTCTCAACAGATGGGGCTGCTTGTTTCAAATCCATGTCTCTGAAAAAGCTCCAGCCCTTCAGAGGGAGCATCCACAGAGAGCATTCTGGCTACAGATTGGCCTCCTCTTTTCCTGCCCTGGGCAGCAGACAGATTTCACATACCTGAGTTGGCAGTAGGGCCACACTCATGATCTTATCAGCTGGTAATAGCCAGCCATTCCTCAGATTCAGGTGTTCTTGGGGAGGGGTGGAGGTTTCACCTGGGCAGGTGTGGGCCAGGCCTGGGGCAGAGGAGAGTGCTGGGTGCCAGGAAGCAGAAGCCTGGGTCTAGCCCTGCTCTGCATTGACTCCTGGTGCGACTCAACATGGGGATCTAGCCTCACTGGGCCACCGGTGTAGCTTGAAGGAGGAGGTGGGTGGGGTGGCCAAGGGTCACCCTCCCCCTAGCTCGGCCTCTGGAGGGCATCTGACGTCACTATCTTGTTCCTCTGGAGTGTCGTGGTCCTTGCAGCACACACATACTCTCTATTCATCTCTGGAGGACATCTGAGGTCAGTATCTTGTTTCTTTGAGTGTCCTGGTCCTCGGAGCACTCTCTCTCTGTCTGTCTTGGAGTTGAAGGTCAGAGACAGCCTGGGTAAAGCTGGGCCACGTGTCCCCATTGGGGCCAGTACTGGGCCTACTTAACCCTCTGTGCTCCTGGCTCTGGGTCATGTTAATGGTTACCCTGTCACTGGTGGTAGATTTGAAAAGGCCAATCTTATGCTATGTTGATTGTACCACAGTTGAAAAAACAAAAGAAGCCAGCCTCGTATGTCCTTTTCTCCCTCCCCCAGGCCTGGGAAGTCAACAAAGGGACTAACTGTGTGACCAGCTACCTGGCGGACTGTGAGACTCAGCTGTGCAAGGTCCCAAGACAGGGCCTGCTCTATGGTGTCCCAGTGAGCCTCAAGGAGTGCTTCAGCTACAAGGTGTGCCCTGCCCCAGTCCCTGCCAGCCAGCTCTGGGTCCTGGGTCACCCTCAGAGGAAGTCCTAGGTCCAAAGGCCTTGAGAGGGCACCACAGGTGTGTCCTGGCTTGGCCTGTGGGGTGGTGGTGGGAGCAGACCCTGTGTGTTGAAGCCCCCCTGGCTCATCAACCATGTCCCTCTCACCCATCCTTCCTTCTAGGGCCAGGACTCGACACTGGGCTTGAGCCTGAACCAGGGAGTGCCAGCGGAGGGTGACTGTGTGGTGGTGCAGGTGCTGAAGTTGCAGGGCGCCTTGCCCTTCGTGCACACCAATATCCCCCAGTCCATGCTCAGGTTGGGTCCCAGGGGTGCAGCGTGGGGGGCAGGGGCACTGGTACCAACATGACAGGGGCTGACCCCTTCCCGCTTCCTCCAGCTTTGACTGCAGTAACCCCCTCTTTGGCCCGACTATGAACCCATGGAATTCTTCCAAGAGCCCAGGTGGCTCCTCAGGAGGCGAGGGGGCCCTCATTGCTGCTGGGGGCTCCCCACTGGGCTTAGGCACCGACATTGGAGGCAGCATCCGCTTTCCCTCAGCCTTCTGTGGCATCTGCGGCCTCAAGCCCACGGGGAACCGCCTCAGGTAGGATGTAGGTGGCAGGTGGAGGGAGCCTCTGAGTCCTGCTGTGTGACCTTGCCTTAGCTTCCCACCTCTCCGGGCTCCAGGCAGGGATTCCCTGACTGGGGTTTTGCTAGGAGGTAGTGTCACAGCACCACCAGCCCCTGGTTCCTAGTTGCCAAAGTGGTGAGAGAGTTGAGGGCTGCTGACTGGATGTGGGGTCGGGCAGGGGGTGGCCATTTCCCATTTCCAACCTCTTGTGTTTCTTATCCAGCAAGAGTGGCCTGAAGGGCTGTGTCTATGGACAGGTAGCAGGTGAGGTCTGTGGTTCCCTCTGCGCCCTGGAGGAGGGGGGTCTGCACCTATGCTCCTGCCTCTCCTTGGGGCAGTGTTGGGCCCCCAGGTCACTCTAGGTCTGCATTCCTACCTCCTGTCTGCTCACACTCCAGGGCCCTGGCCCAGCCCTTGCTTGGACCCAGCCCCGGAACCCCTCGGGGCTGGGTGATCTCTCTCTCTTCCCCTCCCTGCCCCACAGTACAGCTCGCGGTTGGCCCCATGGCCCGGGACGTGGAGAGCCTGGCACTGTGCCTGCGAGCGCTGCTGTGTGAGGACATGTTCCTCTTGGACCCCACCGTGCCCCCCTTGCCCTTCAGGGAGGAGGTGAGCAGGGGTGGGGATGGGCATGGGGTTGGATTCGGGGCTCAGTGGTGCTTCTGAGCCCTTGCAGGCAGGCCTGGGAGGCCCTGTCTCCTGAAAACCAGCCCTGGGGGTCTAAGGCCAGCACTAGCACCTCTGCTGGTGGCACAGGGGTAAAGAATCCGTCTGCCAATGCAGGAGATGCAGGAGGCGTGGGTTCAGTCCCTGGGTCGGGAAGATTCCCTGGAGAAGGAAATGGCAACCCACTCCAGTATCCTTGCCAGGATAATCCCATGGACAGAGGAGTCTAGTGGGCTACAGTCCATGGGGTTGCAGTCACCTAGTGACTAAGCGCAGTAGCACCTCTGCAGACAGCCACCAGATGGTGCCCTTTCCTAAATTTGGAAATCCCAAGCCTTTCAAATTGGCTGGCTGGGAGCCAGAGCCTTGGGGCTGTCGCTGTGGAACAGGACGCTGTGGAATAGGAGGGGCCTTGAGGCTAAGAACAGCTTGAGGGAGAACTCCCGAACCTCTTCCACGTTTGACAACACAGTGAACAGGAGCCTTTCTTACAGCATTCATTTCTCTATCTCCAGCCTCCAGCAGAATGCTTGGCACGGAGTCTGAGTGAGTTAAGAACAGTTAGTTAAAAGCGGAGCGATCTCTCTCCCAGAGAAAACTGGGGTCTTTGGGCAGGTATCTGTCAGATACTGGCTCCCCCCCATATCACCAAACAGCCTGTAGATCAGATAAGGCTGAGTGTACTACTGTCTGTGGTGAGGGAGGGCGCTGCCCACACAGAGCCTTAGTAGCAGGGGGGAGGAGCACAAAGTTAGACTATTGATGTTGGTTTGTCGGCGGATATGTCAATGATAGCTCAGTTGGTAAAGAATTCGCCTGCAATGGAGGAGACCACGGTTCGATTCCTGGGTTGGGAAGATCTGCTGGAGAAGGCGTAGGCTACCCACTCCAGTGTTCTTGGGTTTTCCTTGTGGCTCAGCTGATAAAGAACCCACCCGCATTGCGGGAGACCTGGGTTCGATCCCTGTGTTGGGGAAGATCCCCTGGAGAAGGGAAAGGCTACCCACTCCAGTATTCTGGCCTGGAGAATTCCATGGACTGTATAGTCTATGGGGTCACAAAGAGTCGGACACGACTGAGTCACTTTCACTTTCACTTTCATGTTAGTGTAGGGGGTTGGTTAGGATTGGGTCATAATGTAATTGGTTAGGACTGGTGGGTGCAGCGAAGTGAGGATTCTGAGGAGAGCAGTTCAAGGAGTCTTGGAGGATAAACTGTTGTTTGGTGATCCTATTGAAGAGCTGAGGGTCTTTTAAGAATGACTAATAAAGTTATCTGTACTTTACGGACAACAGATTTCAGTAGTCAAGTTAGAGACGTGAGCAGTGGTATAGTGTGTGCTTAGTCACTCAATAGTGTCCGACTCTGCAACCCCATGGACTGTAGCTCTTGGTGGCTCCTCCGTCCTTGGGGATTCTCCAGGCAAGAATATTGGAGTCGGTTGCCATGCCCTCCTCCAGGAGTGGTGTAGTAAAACCATGTTAATGTAGACTGTGTAAGCTGTGTGATGTAAGTGCCGTTTCTCAGCGGTCTGGCGTTACTCGCTACAGACCTCTTGCCTGGGAAACGGTGAAGACCCCTGGGCAGCAGGAGATCTGGGCTGGGGCGAGGGAGGGCAAGCTCCCATTTCTCAGCTAACTCTACCCAAGGGCCCCTTCCCGAGAGGGGGGAGAGGTAATGAGGCCTCTGTCCCAAGGTCTGGAGCAATCTGTTATGGGAGCCAGGACTTGCATTCTCGAAACAGGCTGTGGATGCCTGGGTTTCCGCCCTGATGTTGCCACTCTGCCCTGATGAGTGGCCTGGGGCGAGTCCCGGCCCTGCTCAGGGCCTATCTCCCTATCTAGACCTGAAGCCTGTGGAATCTTCCTTCTTGCTCTGTCCACCTGCGGGGTCACTGGGAAGGTGTTTTGTGAAGGGGTCAGACACAACAGGGGCTGGCCTCCCTGGCGGTCAGTTTTTGGGGGATCTAGGCAGCAGCCTCAAAGCTGTGTCTGGGGCTGAGTAGTGGCTCTGAACTCTGGGAGCCCTGCTTCGGGCCACCCTCTCCTGACCTGACTGACTCATGCGTGCTGCCCCCAGATCTACAGGAGCTCTCAGCCCCTGCGTATAGGGTATTATGAGACTGACAACTATACCATGCCCACGCCAGCCATGAAGCGGGCCCTGCTGGAGACCAAGCAGAGACTCGAGGTTGCTGGCCACACGGTATGCTAGGGGAGAGGGGAACCCACAGGTCCTGGCATTGCCTCTCCTTCAGGGAAGCCTTCTACCCATGGCTGCCACCCATCCCTGGCACCCTTGCACCCTGATTGTCCTGAGATTGGGGTCACAAATTCGACCCCTGGGGGACCAGTTAAAAGGGGCTGATCAGAAGTATTGGGGTACATGCTTGATGGTGACCTCACCTCTGAGCTGGGATGTGGGAGCTGCATGGAGTCGTCCTTCCTCATCAACCACAAAGAGTGGTGCACAGCTGTCCAGGAGTTCTCAAGGCACTGAGATGGCAGGCTTGGGGCCACTCACCTGAGACAACTTATATGTGGTTCCAGTCTCCTCTCAGGATACACATCTTACGGGGAGCTATCGTGGGCCAACAAGGGTGCCTTTGTGGCTCCAGTGAGGGCACCGTGAGGGCTGAGGGCTGCCTGGACAGTGTGTTTTGGGGGATGGGACCCAAGGGTTTCTAGGTCTGGAACCTTACATGCCTCCATCTCTGCAGCTGGTTCCCTTCCTGCCGAGCAACATACCCCATGCTGTGGAGACCCTGAGCATGGGTGGGCTGTTCAGTGATGGTGGCACGACCTTCCTACAGAGCTTGTGAGTGACTGGGTTTGGGGGTGGGTGGTGGGATCAGGACATGGGTAGATACAAGGAGAGCGTCTGAGTGCTGTGTTCCTCCCTGGGACAGGCCACTGGGGAAGATAGAGGACAGGCCTCGGCAGAACCTGAAGAAGGCCTGGAGCTTTCTGGGCAGGGACCTTACCACCCCTCTGGCTTCAAGCTGAGCCTAGAACTGCCTTGTCAGGGAGACTTTGGAAAGGTGCCAGTGTGCGGAGAGGCAGGATTGAGCAGCCCTGGCCTGGCCCTGGGCTGAGTTGTGCAGGAAGTCGCCTATCTATTGGGGAAAGATTGAGAAACAAGGGTGGAGTCAAGCAGGAGGGCAGAGGCATAGACCACACTCCTCGGATTTGTGCCACATCTTCTGCCTTTGAGCAGGATCTGTTTTCTTGTCTGAAAAGTCAGAAGATTGGATCACACCTGCTTTATGGGGCTTTGCAGAGCTCATATTTGAGAAGCTGGTCCCACGGGGATGTTTTCAGTTCTAAAGGCTGATGGGGGCAGGGCAGGTCTGTGAAGTTGCCTCCTGGGGACATGCCCAGACATACTGGACTTCTGTCAGTAGCCAAGTATGGTCTGGGAGGCTTCCCTGGTAACTCAGCTGGCAAAGAATCTGCCTGCAATGCAGGAGACTCCGGTTCAATTCCTGGGTCAGGAAGATCCACTGGAGAAGGGATACCTACTTCAGTATTCTTGGGCTTCTCTGGTGGCTCAACTGGTAAAGAATCCACCTGCAATGCCAGAGACCTGGGTTTGATCCCTGGGTTGAAAAGATCCCCTGGAGAGCAGAACGGCTACCCACTCCAGTATTCTGGCCTGGAGAGTTCCATGGACTATTCCATGGGCTTACAAAGAGTTGGACACGACTGAGCAACTTTCACTTCAGTGGAAAGGGCCACCCCTCAGTTTGGCCCTAGGGGTGAGGCTCCAGGATCAGCTGCTTGAGACCTTTCCCTGAGATTGAGAGCAGAGATAGCCTCAGAGGCAAGGATTACTGCACCCACTCGGGATTACACCACTCATGCCTCCAGGCTGGCATCAGCATCTGTGGGGAGATGCCCTAGGCAGTATCTTTGGGCCAGGGAGATGCTGCCCACAGTTCTTATTGCTCCGAGCTGAGTTTGCAATGGAGGGAGACAGGGAGCCCTGCCTTGGGGAGCTCCAGTGGATATGGGTGGAGCCCAAGCATCCCAAAGGGTCTGCAGACACATGTCACCTATTGGAAAGGAGAGGCTGGGATGAAGAGGCTGGAAGCTGCAGTTACCGGAGTCTGGTGAGGAGGGAGGTAGAGTCACTGAGTGGAGACTGGGGGATGCCGCAGGTGGGGGTGAGCCAGGAGGGACGCTTTGGGTGGATGCACCTAGACCGGACCCTTTGTCTCCCAGCAAAGGTGATTTCGTGGATCCCTGCTTGGGGTACTTGATCTCAGTTCTGAGGCTGCCCGGATGGCTTAAAGGACTGCTGGTTTTCATGATGAAGCCTCTGGTGAGGACACAAGGAGTGGAAGGGTGGGCGCCACTGGGCTCTTTCCCACTTCCCTTAGCCTCCTCTTCTTCTCAGCCCCCACCCTATCTCTTTTCCTCCCCTCATGCTCTTCCATCTTCAACCAACCTGTGTGCTGAGAGGAGTGCTGACCTGGGGCCTGCGGGGAAGGACAGAGGGAGGAGGCCTAGGTGGCCTGAAGATTATTGCCACACCCGGCCTAAACAGTCACTGACACTGTCTGTTCTTTTGCAGCTCCCAAGGTTCTCAGCCTTTCTCAACAGTATGAAGTCTCAGTAAGAGTTTTTTCCATGCCCAGATGCCTACACGCCTGTTCCCCTGACCTGGGTCCAAGTGCTCTCCAATGGGAAATGATGAGAGAAGTAGCTTCTGAGTCTGGAAGTGGTCTAGGCAGGGTGGCAACCTCAGTGGCCTTGGTTGGGGTTGGGGGGGGCAATCTTGAAAATGTCTTAGCAAGATACAGGAAAGGTTGGAGAGTAAGGACCTGAGGGCGAGCAGGGTTGGGAGAGGATGAAGAGGAGGAGATTTCCCTGCCTGGATATGGGTGGAAAGGCCCAGAAAGGAGCTAGTGGGTGGCAAGGAGCGGGGGATACTGGGGACCCATGAGAAGTGCTGGTTGTAGAGACCGAACTGCACTGCACCTGCTCCTGCCTGCCCCTCGGGGCCTCAAGGCAGAAAAGATGGGAGTAAATTGCCTGATTCTCAGGCCCTTACAACTTGTGGACTTCCCTTCTTTTTTATGTGTGTGTGCTAAGTCGCTTCAATTGTGTCCAGCTCTTTGTGACTCAGTGGACTGGAGCCCGCCAGGCTCCTCTGTCCAAGGGATTCTCCAGGCAAGAATACTGGAGTGGGTTGCCATGCCCTCCTCCAGGGGATCTTCCCCACCCAGCGACTGAACCTGTGTCTCCTGTGGCTCCTGCATTACAGGTGGCTTCTTTGCCGCTGAGCCACGGGGGAAGCCCATTCCTTTTCTCACCACCAGGCATTGAGGACCTCAGGCGGCTCTGTGTCCTAAGAGTAGCTGGGGGTCTGGCCTAAGTCCCTCTTGGGACTCCATGGGATATAAATTTTAGGGATTAGAACTTCTGCCCTGCACTGCTTTCCTCTCAGAGTGCCCTGGAATTGAGAAAGGTCTGAGGAGGAAGGAGATCTGGGAGGTTTTGAGAGTAGGGGCCTGATGTTGCTAATCCTCATGGCTGTGATCATCATGGTCGGTGACTCCACTCCCTCTGTCCAGGTCAGCTGGAAAGCTCTGGGAACTGCATCATGAGATTGAGGTGAGGCCAGAGCCCCTGGTCTAGAGTAGGGTGGGTGGGGGTGGGGTCGGACAGGGCATATGCCTCGGGGTCTGTTGGGCACTGGTCCCTCTGCTCCCCTGGAGTAGCCCATCATCCCCACTCCTACTCCCTGGATCGGGCCGTTTGGGGCCTGCTCTGTGACCCTCACTTGCCTGGAGGCCCATCCTAAGGGCCTGGGTCGGCCTGGGTGGGACTCCTGCCCTGGACACCTCTTCCCCACTCTGGTGCTGCCTGTAACCAGCACTCTGTGGCCCTTCCCTGGCAGGAAGAGTGGTCTCTGTGGTTCCATGGAGCATTTGGTGCCCCCTGAAAGCATCCCTGTCTGAATATCCTGAGGTCCTCCATCCTATTGTGGTTCAGTTCAGATTTGGGGCAGGCATGGGGCCAGTCACCCCGCCTCAGTGCCTGTGCTGCAGAGTCCATGTAATGGGCTGGGTCTGAGGGCTTCACTGGGTGTGCGGGTGTCCTCCGCAGGAATACCGGCACTCCGTGATAGCCCAGTGGAGAGCCCTGGAGCTGGATGTGCTGCTCACCCCCATGCTAGGCCCTGCTCTAGACCTGAATGGCCCAGGCAAGGCCGCAGGTGAGGCTGGCAGCCCCATCACACCCCTCTCACCTGTCTCTTCTCTTCTGAGTTCTGCCCTGTGCCTGGTGGGGTTGCTGGGAAGTAGAAGGAGAGGAGCCCTGGGGGAGGACTCCACCCCGATAGGCTCGCAGTCTGGTTGGCTGGAAAGATGGGAGTCAGGTGGTATGCCTTGGGAGGGAATGAGCTCCTCGTCCTCAGCGATATTCAAGTTGGAGGTCTTGTTACAGAGTCTATGGTTTTTGGGAAGTGGTGTTTGAAGTCCAGGTGGGATTTAGATAAACCAAGAAAACAGCAATGAAGCTGCAGGGGTGGAGGCATAGGGCCAGCATCAGCGGGCTCTCCAGCCTGCCCTGAATCCAGGTTCCTGGGCTTTGTCACTCTACTCAAGTCTCAGCCCTAGGAGAGAACCCCTCCCTGCTGGTGGAGGCCAGTGCTCTCTCTCAGGGTGGAAGATGGGGGCTCGGAGTGGACAGTCGTCACGGAAGGTCGGCTGACCTGCTCCAGCCCGTTGTGCTGTGTCTCAGGGGCCATCAGCTATACTGTGCTCTACAACTGCCTGGATTTCCCTGCGGGGGTGGTACCCGTCACCACAGTGACCGCCGAGGACGAGGCCCAGCTGCAGCTTTACAAGGGCTACTTTGGCGATATCTGGGACAAGATGCTGCAGAAGGTGAGTCCCTTCCCCTCCTCTCCCCGCTGGGATCCCTTCCTCTAGTAGAGAGGACAGTATAAACAGGCGCAGGCCTTGTCGGCCTTTCTTAAGGCAGGACCCCTAGAGACTGTGGGCGGGCCCTGCTGTGCTGCCCCTCCTTCCAGCTGGGGTGCTTCCCGGGCCCAGGTGGGGCCCTGCCTGGACGCCTCGGGTCCTGACGCCTGTGTCCCCTGCAGGCTATGAGGAAGAGCGTGGGGCTGCCCGTGGCTGTGCAGTGCGTGGCTCTGCCCTGGCAGGAAGAGCTGTGTCTGCGGTTCATGCGGGAGGTGGAGCAACTGATGAACCCGGACAAGCAGCTATCCTGACCGCGGCCCACACGGCCCTGGAGTGCCCGAGACCCGCCCGGAGCTGCATCCAGCCTAGTCAGGGCACCGCTGCCGCCCCGCCAGGAGTGTTCGGCCTGGGCTGAAGCTCCTGAGTCCCTCCCCTGTCGCCCTCTACAAGAAGCCCAGACCCACTGAATTTGGACCTCACTTCCTCCCCAGGTCCGCTCTCTGTCCTGACCACCCTCCTCACCATGGCAGCCAGCGGGCATGACATGATGACTAACAGTCAAGAACTGGTGTCTGGTGTGTGCTTTCTGGCGATCACTGTTAGGGCCCCGGGGGTTGGACACCCGCCCTTCTAGAACCCGACTTTAGCCATGTCCGTCTCCTGCTCCCAAACCTCCTCTAGTTCCTGTCACTCACAGCATGGACACGGGTTTTTCGGGGTGGCTCTTGCAACCCCAGCTCTTCACCCTCACCCACTGCCTCCCCGTCTCCGCCTCCCAACCCTCAGACTAAGCCCTACTTCATTAGACATTTTCTTCTCTCTTATCCCTCTGCTGAGGAGGCCCTTTCTGCTCCTCTGCCATTAAATCCTTTGAGACCCAGCTCAGATCCCTCTGAGTCCTGGAGTAGGGGGGCTGTTTCTGTCCAGTCAGCCCTGGGTGGTGGGCATCTGCAGGTGGGTCGCCTCAGCACACTGGCTCTCCTTGACGAAGGGGCACTGTTTCTACATCTTCGTCCTCAGCAGCCAGCACAGGGCTGGGCACAGGGCAGCAGGGATTTTGGGATGCTGTATGGGGAGGGAAGCCCACAGGCCTGGGAAGGCAAGTCTGAGGCAAGCCCAAGACAAGATGATCTGGCAGAGAGTGCTTGCAGGACCAGTCAAGAACTGGATGTTCTGGGAAGGCTTCCTGAAGGAAGAGAACCTGTGTTGTGTAGAGATGGTTCCCAGAGGCTGAGGGAGGGAATGAGGACATCCCAGGGAGAGGGAAAAATATGCCTGAAAACTAGGACGAGTTTGGTATATGGAAGCATTGTGTGGGCCCAGGAGGAGCAGCAGAGAGGTGTAGGTGGGGGTCAGATGAAGGGAGTTTGGGGGGCCAGTTCAGGAACTTGAATCCAGTCTCCAGGGCAATGAGGTGCTCTTGAAAGATCACCCAGGTGTGCTGAGGAGAGTAGACTGGAGTGGCAGAGCCTGGAGCGGGTAACAAGGCTGTTCCATGATCCTAGTGTGAGGAAGGGCCTGGGGCCTGAGCTAGGGCGGTGGTTTGGGGTGGAAGTGAGCTGTCTGGGCCTGTGTTGCTTGGTGGGCAGCGGGTAGCTCATCTGGGCCGCTCTGGGGGCAGCTTGGGCCCACAAGCAGAGCTTCCTCATGCCTCCCTGGCTCCAGCCCTAACTCGTCTTCTTGCTGTCAAAGATGTGTCTGGCCTGAGCCCTCGGGCAGGGTGGGCCCCTGGCTCCCACCTGACTCACATCAGATTCTTTCCAGGACAACTGCTTTCCCAAGGTTTTCTTCTCTGCCCAGATTTTCCTGCTTCTCCAGAGGTGTCCTCCCCTCCACATCATGTGCCCAGTGGCACCTGTACTTTCTGTCAGTAGTAACCTGGCCTCGGTGGGGCAAGTCTCAGGGCAGACATGAGCCTCCCTGGGAGCTGACTAGAGGGCCTAATCCACAGAGACACCTTGATTGGGATGACCAAGAAGCTGCTGCACTTTGCCCTGATTTCTTATAACTGCTGCTATTGTCATTTTGGCTCATATCTTTCCATGGAATCACTCAGCATCTGCCTCAGCTTCCTGCCCCATTTCTCTCTTTGGTTAAGATAGCCTTGTGCTTTCAGACCTCACTTCCATTCTTTCTAATCAATAATTCCAGTCAATAACTGGGTTATGGATTCCCCGCTTTAATCTCAGCATGGCCATGCCCAGCCCTGTTCTTAGTGGTGCTGAAGCTCCTCCAAGCCTGTCTGTCATTTCTGAGAGGCTCTGGGGTCTGTGTGGGTGGCAGATTTTGGCACAAGCATGTTGGCTCGATCATGATCAGGGATGAGGGAAAGGTTAGACGATGCGGCCAAGTGCTGCCACGGGCAGGGGAGGTGGTCGGTGAGGAAACAAGTGCCCACTGCGTTCCACTCCCACACCTTCACTCTGGTCCAAGCCTCCTGCCCCTCACCTGGACACCAATAACCAAACTGGGGTCCCTGCTTCCTTCCCCACCTGTCCAACCAGTCCGTTTTCCATACAGCAGCCAGAGTGATCCCATAAAAGTGTATATCAGATTGAGTCACCTCTCTCCCTAAGAACTTGCAATGACTTCCCAATCAAACGAGACAAAAATCTGGCCTCTTCAAGTCCTTTGAGGTCCCACATGACGTGGCCCTTGCCCACCTCCCTTGCCTCATCTTGGATGTCTCTTCCTCTCATTCCCTGTGCTCTAGCCACATGAGCACCTTATGGTCTCTCGATCATCTCAAGCTGGTCCCCACTCCAGAGCCTTTGTGTTAGCTGTCACTCTGCTTGGAACACTTGACACCAATGTCACCCTCCCTGATCACCTACTTGGAAAACAGCTTCCTCTGACATCTTATAACATGCCACCCCTTAGACTTAATACCATTGTCACTAGGATCATTTGGGTTTGTGTGTGTGTGTGTGTCTCCACTCAAATAAGCTTCCTGAGAACTATACTTTGTCATGCTCATCACAGTACTCAGCATGTGGAATGGTGCCTATAAGGTGTTTAGTTAATTCAGTGAACACCAAGTGAGCATCTACTAGGGACCAGGAGCTGTATTGGATGCTGGGACTGCAGTGATAAATGCAGCAGACTAGGATCTTGTCTTCTCAGAGCTGCATTCTGGAGCATATTTGTTGAATGAAAGGAGGCAGGCAGGTGTGCTATTAAAGACCTACATCTTTAATGTGCATGCTCAGTCTCTTCAGTCATATCTGACTCTTTGCGACCCTATGGACTGTAGCCTGCCAGGCTCCTCTGTCCATTGGGATTCTCCAGGCAAGAATTCTGGAGTGGGTTGCTGTACTCTCCTCCACATCAGTTCAGTTCAGTTCAGTTCCTCAGACCCCATGAATCACAGCACACCAGGCCTCCCTGTTCATCACCAACTCCTGGAGTTTACTCAAACTCATGTCCATCAAGTCGGTGATGCCATCCAACCATCTGATCCTCTGTCGTCCCCTTCTCCTCCTGCCCCCAATCCCTCCCAGCATCAGGGTCTTTTCCAATGAGTCAAATCTTCGCATGAGGTGGCCAAAGTATTGGAGTTTCAGCTTCAGCATCAGTCCTTCCAATGAACACCCAGGACTGATCTCCTTTAGGATGGACTGGTTGGATCTCCTTGCAGTCCAAGGGAGTCTCAAGAGTCTTCTCCAACTTAATACATGGAGTGATAAAATGATTTTAATCAGGGCAAGTGAGAAGAACATTCTGAATATGAGCCAACTAATATCTAGACCCTTCATAGCCATCATGTCATTTTATCCTACTAACCTTGTTGTGTGTATTTGTGTTCTCACTTTGCAGAAAGGCCCCACAGCTAGAAAGCACATAGTTTCTGTATGTAGGAAACTTGGGACAACCCACCAATGCTGGTTGGGATATTCAGGACTTGATGAGACTTGATTATGTGGCCATCTCTCATGCCCAGGTTTTCTGGGCAGGACAACCCCAGGGCTCTTTCCTTGGCTCTGATTTGACTAAGTACTTACTGGTGACTTGGATCAGGCCACATAATACAAGTGTCATCAAGTCCTGAATGACCCAACCTGCCTTTGTTTTCCACATATAGAAATGAGGTGGGGAATTAGAATCAATATTTGATTTATTCTATGCCTGATGTCCCAAGATGCGGAGGCCCAGAAGAGTGACAGCATAATCCAACCACTGCCTCTTCCTGTCTGACCACCAGTCTTGTGGCCTCAAGGCTCTCTAAGTCACGTGACTACTGCCTGGTCTCAGCCTTTCCTCTACTCCCTAGTCCACTGCAAGAGCTTCTTGCCTGGCCTCCCCACTCCAGACTGGTTGTCTCCAACTGGCATTTGAGTTGTTGTTGTTGTCCAGTTGGTCAGTCGTGTCTGACTCTGTGACCCCATGGACTGTAGCAGGTCAGACCGTCTTTCACTTTCTCCTGGAGTTTGCTCAAACTCATGTCCATTGAGTTGATGATGCCATCCAACCATCTCCTCTTCTGTTGCTCCCTTCTCTTGCCCTCATCCTTACCCATGTCAGGGTCTTTTCCAATGAGTTGGCTCTTCCCATCAGGTGGCCAAAGGATTGTAGCTTCAGCTTCAGCATCAGTCCTTTCAATGGAGTATTCAGGGTTGATTTCCTTTAAGATTGACTGGTTTGACCTCCTTGCTGTACAAGGGACCCTCAAGAGTCTTCTGCAACACCATACTTCTAAAGCATCAGTTCTTCAATGCTCAACCTTCTTTATAGTCCAATTCTCACATCCATATATGACTACTGGAAAAACCATAGCTTTGACTATATGGACCTTTGTTGGCAAAGTGATGTTTCTGCTTTTTAATATGCTGTCTAGGTTTGTCATAGCTTTTCTTTCAAGGAGAAAATGTCTTTTAATATCATGGCTGAAGTCACTGTCCAGTCATTTTGGAGCCCAAGAAAATAAAGTCTCTCACTGTTTCCATTTTTTGCCTATCTATTTACCATGAAGTGATGTGACCAGATGCAATGATCTTAGTTTTTTGAATGTTGAGTTTCAAGCCAGATTTTTCACTCTCCTCTTTCACTTTCATCAAGAGGCTCTTCAGTTCCTCTTCACTTTCTGCCATAAGGGTGGTGTCATCTGCCTATCTGAGGTTGTTGATATTTCCCTCAACAATCCTGATTCCAGCTTGGGATTCATCCAGCCCAGCATTTTGTATGATGTACTCTGCATATAAGTTAAATAAGCAAGGTGACAATATAAAGCCTTGACATACTCCTTTCCCAGTTTTGAACCAGTAAGTTGTTTCATGTCTGGTTCTAACCGTTGCTTATTGACCTGAATACAGGTTTCTCAGAGTGCAGGTAAGGTGGTCTGGTATTCCCATCTCTTTAAGAATTTTCCACAGTTTGTTGTGATCCACACAGTCAAAGGCCTTAGTGTAGTCAATGAAGCAGAAGTAGATGTTTTTCTGGGAATTCTCTTGCTTTTTCTATGATCCATTGGATGTTGGCAATTTGATCTCTGGTTCCTCTGCCTTTTCTAAATCCAGCTTGTACATCTGGAAGTCCTTGGTTCACATACTGTTGAAGTCTAGCTTG